TTTCTGAAAATCTAAGTATACTATATCTACTGGATCCCCCTTGTCTGCATGTTTGTTAACCCCTTCAAAGAACTCTTAGGGTATGTCTACACTACCCCCCTAGTTCGAACTAGGGGGGTAGTGTAGACATACCCCCTATTCTTTTGTTAGTCTCTAAGGTGCTAAAGGACCATTCGTTTTTTAGTTTTTAATGCAGCTACCCCTCTGAGACTTCGTAGCAGTCAGAATTTCCCATACGATTTACAGGGTGCTGCATGCCCAAAAAACCTCTGGTCCTACTGGAAACTGGCCTCCCCACCTTTCTTTTACACCCTCCTTCCTTCTTTCCATTCACACACAATGAAAGTCAGGGAGAGGGAAGGATAGAGAAAAGGATAGAGGGGCAAGGAAGGTGAAAGGGAATAAATGAATAAATGGGGAAGAAGGTGAATGGAGGAAGTGAATGTCTGATTAAGAATAAATTAGGAGGAAAAGACTATCAGGAGTGAGATGAGAGACAGAATGAGTTAATGCAGAGGAAGGAAAGAGATCGAAAGAGGGAGGCATAGAAGCAGGAAAGACAGTGCTATGTTCTAACTGTAAACTCAAGGGCTGCATCTAGACTGGCAATTTTTTTCTGCAAAAGTGTCTGCTTTTGCTGAAAAACTTGCCAGCTGCCTACACTGGCCGCCTTGAATTTGGACAAGAAACACTGATGATCTACTGTACGATTGTCAGATTTCTTCCGCAAATACAATGACTCTCCCGTTCAGGAAAAAGCCCTCTTGATGCTTTTGTGCAAGAGGCCCAGTAGATGGCTAGGAACCATTTTGTGCAAAAAAAGCTCCGATGGCGAAAATGGTGATCGGGGCTTTCTTGCGCAAAACCGCGTCTAGATTGGCATGGACGCTTTTCCACAAAAAGTGCTTTTGCGCAAAAGCATCTGTGCCAATCTAGACACACTTTTCCACAAATGCTTTTAACGGAAAAACTTTTCCGTTAAAAGCATTTGTGGAAAATAATGCCAGTCTAGACGTAGCCAAGTAGTCATTCATAAACACCAAATAAAAAAAGAGAGGGAATATTGAAGATGAATGAAATTAGAAGGGCTAAAAAGAGAGGATTTGAAGAATGAACAGAAAAAAAGATGCAAAAAGCAAGAAGAAATTTTGGAAATGGAAGAAGGAAGCCTGAGAGAGAATTTGTCAGTCTGTTGGACCTAAAATAAAGTAAAGTAACAGAGCAGGAATAAGCTCAACTGAGATAAGCCAAAAGCTTTCTTTGAAGCAGGTTTCACCACAGATCTGCAGAGGAACTGAATGGTCTGAGCCTTACTCTTATAAGGGAGTAAAGAAGAGACACTGTTAGGCTACCTGTACATTGCACATAAATAGCTTATTTCAAAATAACACATCTACACTACATGGAAGCTATTTTGGAATAGGCATTATTCTTTGTAGAATGAGGTTTACAGATTTCAGAATAAGCCACCCGTTATTTTGAAATCATTTCAAAACAATGGAATGGCTGTATAGATGCTCGCATAGTTATTTTGGAATAACGGCCATTATTCCAAAATAATTTTGTTGTGTAGATATACCCTTAGGGCATGTCTACACTGCACCTGTAGGTCAAAATAAGATATGCAATTTGAGCTATGCAAATTGCGTATCTTATTTTGATCTAATTTTGAAATAATTTGTTGACAAATTTCTAAATAAACCACTATTCTGAAATGTCCCTTAACCCTATTGAAATGAGGGTTACAATGACATCAGAATAGCAATCCCGTTATTTAGAAATCTATTTCTAAATAATGAGTTGTTCAAAAGACGTGGAATAGTGTTCAGTCTAGATGTATCCTTAGAGATTGACCTTTCGGGACGTGTCATAAAATTCAGTGTAACAAGTTGCTGCGAGTAGATGGTAAACATGAGGAGTTTTGAAGCAATGTAAAAATAAAGTGGTTGAATTATAAACAGTGACTATGCATTTTCTCTCAAATTAGCTATGACTGGATGATAACAAATGAGCATAATCTTTAATTAAAATGCTAGGGTTGATCCTGGGGTTTATAGAGCAGCAAACATAATTTCAGGATCCAGTAAATTTGTGAAATTATTATTAAAAATAATTATTAAACCTCTCGATGAAAATGATATGATGAGGACAAACTAGCATGACTTCAGAAAAGGAAAATTATGCCTTCTAACCCAGTGTTTCTGAAAGTGTTTCAGCGGTACACTTTCAGACACACTGTTCTAACTTAATTCTTTGCATAGGTCAACAAAATAGTAAATAAGAGTAAATCCATTAATATAGTAAACTATTTCTTGTTAAGGACTTTCCATAACAAGAACTTACATTAAGGATATGTAATCATGGGGTGAGAGAAAATTGTCTTGGATTAAAAAGTAGCTATAATACAATGAACAAGGAGTGAAAACAAATGTCAAGTTTTATAATGCCTAAAAGATAAGAGTGTGGCCCCAAAATCTGTCCTAAACCCATTGTTGTTCAATGATGTGGTAAGCTATGTGACTAGAGAATGAGGCAGCAAAGCTTACAAATGAGTCAAAATCAATTGCGTTACTCAAGACTACAGAATCTGGGAGAAAAAACCCAAGGAGGCTGATGAAATTCAGTGTTGACAAATGTAAGGTAATGCACATTGTAAGGAATAATTTGAACTATTCATACATATTTTTGTGTTCTATATTAACTGTAGTCCCTGACGAAAAAGACCTGGCAGTCACGGCAGAGAGCTCAATATAATCCCCTATTCAATGTAGAAACAGAAGGGGTCCAGAAATAAATGATGAAAATGTTAATAGTTAAAAAAACCCAAAAAACCTACAACAAGAGTTGTATATGAAAGGAGACTGAAAAGTTTGGAGCTGCTTTGTTTAGAGGAAACAAACAAGGGAGTACAGGATGGCGTATATATAATAATTAATGGAAAAAATAGAGCCTCTAAGTGTTATGAGATTGCAAGTCACACATCTTGTTGCAAAACCTATTCTTTTTGAAGATTCTGCAGAATTCAGCATTTTTTCATTT